GGATTATTTCTAATTAAAAAAAAACACATAAAGAATACTAAACCAAGTAACCAGGCATCAGTGGCTCACACCTGTAATCCTAGCTACTCAGGAGGCTGAGATTTGAGGATCAAGGTTTGAAGCCAGTTCAGGAAAGACTCTCTATCTCCAATTAATCACCAAAAAAGCCAGGAGTAGCCCAGTGGCTCAAGTGGTAGAGTGCTAGCTTGGAGCAAAAAGAGCCCAAGGACAACACCCAAGCCCAGTGCAAGCCCCACACAGACCAGAAAAGAGAGAGAATATTAAACCAAGTGCAGTGGCTCATGCCTATAATCCTAGCTATTCAGAGGGCTGAAATTTGAAGGACTGGAGTTCAAAGCCAGCCCAAGAAGAAAAGTCTGAGACTCTACCTCCAAAATAACCAACAAAAAAGACAGTTCGAGGTGTGGCTCAAGTTGTAGAGCACCAGTCAAACAAGCAACCAAGTGTGAGATACTGAGTTCAAACCCCCATGTCAGTAGGAAAAAAAAGCAATTATCATCTCAGTTATACTTGTATGTTTATACAATAGACAATGCTTTTAAATAATAAATCAACAAAATCTGTATTAAGATTATATAAAATAACAGATTTAAAGAATAGAAGAGGAAATCATTCCAGGCTTTGGAAAATAATTTCACCTAAAATCAATCCAGTAAAGGAGAAATTCTAAAGAAAACTAACTCATTCCCTTACATACAGAAAAAAACAAACAAACAAACGAAACCTGAGGCACAAGCATCATATCAAACTGATGATAGACTAGGTATAAAAAGCAAGGTATAATAACTCATTCCCATATATATGAAAAACCAACCACCACCTGAGGCTCAAAAATCACATAAAGCTAAAGGTAGACTAGGCATAAAAAGCAAGGTATAATCAATTCTATTCCAAATTCCCGCTGCCTCATTAAGTATCAATAGTCATAAATATAGCATCCTGCTTTAACTGATATGGTGAAATGCTGTATTAATCAGATTATCCAGCCAAATATTCAGCCTTCTAGGGAAGATCTTTCATTAAAGAGATTGGGTGGGGCTGGGAATGTGGCTTAGTGGCAGAGTGCTTGCCTAGCGTGCATGAACCCTAGGGTTCAATTCCAAAGTAAAACAAACAGAAAAAGCCAGAAGTGTCACTGTGGCTCGAGTGGTAGAGTGTTAGCCTTGGGCAAAAGCAGCTTAGGGACAGTGCCTAGGCCCTGAGTTCAAGCCCCAGGACTGGGTGGGGAGAGAGAGAGAGAGGGAGGGCAGAGAGAGAGAGGGAGGGTGAAGGAGAGGAAGACAGAGAGGGAGAGAGAGGGAGAGGGGGAGAGAGAGATTCTGTGAATATATGGTTGTATAATTGGCCAGTGATACTTTTTCATCTGTCCATCCTTTCTCTGAAGAACTGACCTACTATTTTCTATGTAGCTCTGGTGGGGCGAACTGAAAATCTAGATTAGCTGAAGTATTCTATTCTCCTGAACGTATGAGTCAAACTTGGAGGAAACTATTTTGGCTTTTTTTATTTCTTCATTTTGTTTTATTTTTTGTCAGTCGTGGGTCTTGAACTCTGGGTCTAGGCGCTGCCCCTCAGCTTTTCAGTTCAAGGCGAGCACTCTACCACTTGAGCCACAAGGCCACTTCCTATTTTGATGTTGGGAAATGAAGCATTTCTTCTATGAAACTGTCTACACGGATACTGAAAGCATGATGTCAATAGCTACCTCACCCACCACATGTGACACAATAAAGAGGAAAAGAGAGCCATATCCACATTATCCACAGCTATTGATCCATAGAGTGCCAAGTATCATCTAATTAAAGTAGCACTAGCTGCAAATGTTAACAATGTACCATGTGATCTGGTAACAATAATCAACTGGTCAACTAAGTTTCTCTCAAAAATATGAATTACAAAACACGGGAAATACTGAACAGTTAATATAAAGGACCATTAGACAACACTGGGCCCTTAAAGGGGTATGCAAAGATAGAGAGATGTAAGGACAAAACAAGAAAACATGAATAGCTGCCAAGAGAAAGAGAGAGAGAGAGAGAGTGTGTGTGTGTGTGTGTTGGTGTTGATGTTAGTGCTTTGTTTTTCCAGAAGTGGGATCAAACAAGGTCTTTACATATGGTAGGTAAGTACTCCTCCACTGAACTACATTCCTAGCCTGAGAGTTGCATACTTCTTGCACTGTTTAAATTTCTCAGTCTTCAATTCTGAGTGCATATGAGATATAAATGAGCCCACTCGCTTAAAACATTTATGAGTCTGCAAATGGTTAATATATGTAGAGACTTACAGTTATTATAAAAAATATTTAATTCCCCTTGCTAACTCTATTTCCTTGCTCTGTGACTTTGGGTTTGGCTCTGTACCATTTATGCTAATAGGCTGCCAGCAAATTTCATGCAAGCAGAGGCTTAAAATGTGCTTTTTTACTACTGGCATTACTGGTTCAAGGATCAGAAGCATATAGACAATGTGGCATAAATACTGCATAAAGCCACCCAGTTAATCATACCTAAGTCAATCAACTTGCAGAAGGCACCTGGTGCACAAACAAAATAATGCTCATTGCTGTTTGTGATGGTGATTTGTGATTTGCCAAAACATACCTATACAATACACTAAGGACTGTGGTGCATTGTCCTCGTAAAGACGGTCCTTCATCTGATGCTGGTTCCACATATCAACTAGTCATGCTTTACGCTGGGTGTAGAGGACAGAGATTAGTAATATATCATTCTTTTCCCAGGGAGAACTATTCCAGTGAAAACAAAGTCTCCAATCAAATGGTCAAAGAATACTGGAACAAGGAGCTCCTCCTATTGTAAACGAGGGAGGAGGTTCTAAGAGGTATTAGAGAGGGCTTTACATGACAGTGAAGGTGTAAAGGATGAATAATCATTTACCAAGTGAGAAAAGGGGCTAGGCACAGTGGCCCACACAGTGCACACACACACACACACACACACACACACAGTGCACACACACACACACACACACACACACACGAGGGAGGGAGGGAGGAGAGGGAGAGAAAGGGAGAGAGGAGAGACAGAGAAATGCTTGGGACGAGTAATGTTTCAGATTCTTCTGGATTTTAAGAATATTCATATATTATTTTTATCTTGGAGATGGAACCCATGTGTACACATGAAATTCATTTGTTTTATATAACCTTTAGGCCTGAAGATAATTCTATGCCATATATTCAGTACACCTGAGTTATCATTACCATGGGTCTCATGACGTCAGGTGTAGAATTTTCCACTTGTGGTGTTATGCCTGCACTCAGAAGTTCCAAATCTGGAGCATTTCAGATTTGAGATTTCCAAGTTGGGGAAGCTAAATCTGTATGTCTATCAATAAGATGTCATTATTAACTTAAGGCTCTTAACCAAAAACAAATTCTATGACAGTGATTTTTGAAGATACTCATTTTGTCCAATAAAAACATGTATAGCATGAATAGTAAGAACCACTCGAAAGCCTGCCAATCCAGGAAAATAATAATAATCTTACTTAAATGATATGCCATAACAGCAGTAAACTACCGCTGCCTGGGACTTGAGAACAGTGCAAACGAAATAATCCCCCGACGACTAAAAGCACATCAGGGCTACCGGGGCCGGGAAACCCTTCCTTCAGTTACAGCAGTCAGAAGGGGAGCCTGGACTCTCAGCAGAAAACTTCAGGCAGAGGCGTGACACTAGGATGTAAAATCAAACCATCCACAGCCTTCGTCCCCAACGACGGGACGGAGCTGCCAGTGAGCACACATCAGAATTTCTGTCCAGCCTGCCCTCGAGGAAAGTTATCAGAACAGCAGCAAGTCGCAAGTTCTAGAAGACACTCAACAAACGCAACGCGCTCAGCCATCCCGCCGATCCCTTCAAACTACAGGACAAAACTTTCACACCGCGTGGAAAGGGAGCGAAGACAGGGCTCCCGTCCGGCTTCCGGCACTCCGCGACCCGCCGACAGCCGAGGCAGCACGCGCGGCGCCGCGTCCCCGCCCAGCCCCAGGATCGGTGACCGAGTTTCACCGGTGCGGAAGCGGGGAGGCGGGAAAACCGAAGCCGGGGGGAGGAGCCCGCGGCCGCGGCAGCGGGAGGGGGCGGCGGTTAGACCCGCGACCGGAGCCGAGTCCTGACGAGCGCCGGCCCCCCGGCTCCTCTGGAGTTTTGTCGGGAGCTCAGCCACGGTTGCCCCGCTCCCCACCAGCCCCTCCAGAGTCCTCCCTTTCGGCGGGGATGCCTGAGCAAAGAGCCAAGGGGCGCTCGTCTGGTGGCTCCGGCGACCCGGAGAACGCCCCGGGCGGCCGAGCCCGCGAGCCGCCGGCTCCCCGGTACCACGGAGGGGCGTGGCCGGGACGAAGGTGAGGCAGGCGGACTCTCCTTACCTGCCTCAGAAGCTTCCACCGCGCGGCTCCCAGGGGGGTCGAGACTGCGGCGTCTCGGGGGGCTCGGCCAACAGTCGGATCCCCGACCGCGGCTTGCTCAGTCTCGCCTGTCCCGGCGTTCACGACTTGCGACTCCATCCCACTGGAGCCGCCAGTAAGCGGAGGTGCTGTGACCACAGCTCTACTCTGTCAGGACCTGGCAACTTCTTCCCTGTCAGGACCTGTGACGCCCGGACTTCTTGCCAGAGTCCTTGGCGCGCACGCGCACCCTCCCCGAATACCGCATTTCCGGTATCCGCGTCTCCTTGGCAACCAAGGCCGCGCCGTCACTACATTGCACCAGTTTACGGATAGCCATCTTAAGTAAGGGCAAGCGGGAGCGTGAGGGGCCTGTGGCAGAGTTACTGTAACGGCGTTTCTCCTTGTTTTAGTCTTTCCTGCTTCATCTCGAGCTCATAAAATTTCCAGATAACCAAAAGGCTATATGGTTAACGTGAAATAGTCCCAAGAGGAGGGGAGGGGGGCGGGGAAGCCCTATTTATGACCACAATAAAGATGGCGAAATACGCTTAAGACTCGTGTTGGATTGGGGTTACGTAGACCGGCGTGCTGCAAACCGGGTCTGGCGCTTCGGGGTAGGTTGTAGTTCTGCTTGGTGCAGAACGCAGACTGGAGGTGGACGTGATTGGGGTGACTCGCGGTCCTCCCTGAGAACCCCGGACCCGCCCTCCTGTCTTCGCACATTTGTCACCGGAGCCAGACCCTCACTTTTCGTACGTAAGAAAATGTCCTGGGGTTGGGGGCGGGGAGGGGGGGGTGGCGGGGTAAAGTCTCTTTCCTAACCCTCCTCTCCGCACCTAGCCTCCCCGGCTTCCCCGTTTTTGACCTGCATCTCTTCAGTGGATGGTGTCTGGAACCGTTTGCTGTCTCCCCGATGGACATTTGGGAGCTATGTCCATATCCTTAGGGTGTAATGTTCCATGTGAAAATTAATAGGGAACACCCATTTTACTAGCCCTCCCATCCCTAAGCTTGCAAACTGATAACTCCCTGCCGATGAGAGATGGGTGGATTGAGGCCCTAGAGACAGGTATGGTGAATTGGAGGGCCTGTGCTTTCATTTTTGTTTGTGTCACTGCTGCTCTCCGATCCCTACTTGCCCTTTATTTTGCTGCGACATAAGAGATTAAGGGGGAGGGGATCAGATCCTGGGCAAATTTGATACACTGTGCTATAATATCAAGGGAGAGCTTATAGATGAATTCCATGATTACCTTCAACAGTGTGCTACATACTTAGATTATTCCTTTGTTAATATTGTTGAGCTTTTACTGTGTGCCAGGCTAAGATCCTCACACAAAATGTCTCATTTTATTCTTAACACTCCAAAAGTAAATGATGTCATTATTTTAGTTTTGCAGATAAAGACACTGAGGCCCAAAGATGCATGAAGTTAAAGGACACAGTCCAGATCTCTGTACTGTTTACTTAGCTAGCTATCAAGGTCAAAAAGAACCTACCTCCCAGCAGAAACCAGAGATAGCCTCACATTTTATTGGAGCTATTGCAGTGTTATTTTTTTTTTAATTTAAAAGTCTATTATTCTTTTACTGTTAAAGTCCACTAGTTTATATCCAAGATATGAAGCCAAACCAGATTGGACTTTTTCCTGCACACAGCTATCCAAGTGACATAGACATATATTCAAACCTCCCAAAGCTAGTTTGCTTACAAAGCAAATGAGCATCATAACAGCTAATTCATCGAATACATATGAAGTTTAAATTAGACAAAGTAGATAAAAAGCATCTGGCACATAGTCAACACTCAACAAATATTAATCTCTCTTTAATAAGTAGTTATAAACATACATTTATAATTATTACCAAACTTATTTTGCTTTTTAAAGCACTAACAGTTACTAAGATTCCCCATTAAAACTGCACTTACTTGCAAATTTTTATTTTGTTTCTTGTTTTCTGTTTTTTGTTTTAGTTTGTTCCTATGTGTACCAGAATCAGTGCTGCATAGCTTCAGCCTAGTAAAATTGACTTTATAAATGAACTTTCAACTCACATCTGCCAAGAAGTTTGAATGAAACTTTAACTCATACAAATTTGTTGCTTTTTTTAAAAATGTATTTGGTGTAAGTTATAAGCTGTCTGTAGCTAAGGTGTACATGGCCCTGGGATAAGACCAGACAATCTTAGATGCTCTGAGAACCTAGTATTGTATACTCATATATGTATATAAAATCAACCACATGCTGGCAGACCTAAAGGGAGCATAAACCAGGGACTTTGATACCATGCAGCAGAAGACCCAGTTATTTCTCCAAGCACTGAAGTATAGTTTTCCTCACCTTGGGAAATACATGCAGAAAAAGCATTTGAATCACTGTATCTACGCTGATCATTATTATGGTAGAATAAAATTGAGAACATGTCACCTAACCAAGTGTCTGCAAAATAAACCCAAGATACCAAAGTTAGCAAGAAACATCCCAAGTCGGAGCTTCTCATGTAAGGTATGGACTGTTTAACTGTTTAACCTATGTATAGGTCATAAGACTAATTTTAGTCTAAAGAATGGGTAAGATATCAGTTTTTTCTCAGTAATTCTAATTTGATTTTAAAGTTTTCTGAGCTCTGTTGTTTGTAGTTAAATATAAGTATGAAAGAGTATGCATATCAATATAGTTAAAATGTAATATATTAAAATGTAAATTCATAAAATGTGATTCAACTCAGGACTTCCTTCATATGGCTGCCAATGTGTTTCAAACTATAATTCTGCTTTCTAAACTTCCTAAAATATCAAATTTATAGTCTTAAACCTAATAATAATGCTTATTGCTTTATGTTACAGTAAAAAAAGAAAAAGACATGTAATTGTTATTTTTTGACTACTCTTAGAAAGACACTCAGATTATTGTACCGTTGAGCATTGAACTCAACTTTGAGGACTTGATTATTCTTATACATAGAGTGACCACAAATTCCAGTTTGCCTGGGTCATTCTACACCTGTTGTCCCTGTGTAATTATTAATAGTCCTCTTTCCTCTCAAGGAAAGACAGTTAAGATGTTAAAGTATATGGTCATCCTACCTATTTTAAATTAAGCTATTTTTGCTTCTGCCTCTTTGACAGCCCCTAACTTTTACTTATGTTCCTTAAATTCCTTAATTTACGTTTGGGAGCCAGATGTCAGTGGCTCACACCTGTAATCCTAACTACTCAGGAGGCTGAGATCTGAGGATCACAGTTCAAAGCCAGCCTGTGCAGGATATTCACAAACCATCCTGCATAGGCTGGCTTTGAACTCTTATCTCCAGGTAGCTACCACAAAGCCAAAATGGCACTTTGGCTCACAGTAGTACACAGCACTAGGCTTGAACACGAGAGCTCAGAACAGTGCCCAGGCCCTCAGTTCAAGCCCCGGGACTAGCGCACACCTACACACACACACACACACACACACTTCACATGATATTCTGCAATATTTTTGCATATTTTGATATTATAATTTCAGATTTCTGTTGTTTTTCTGCATACTGATTTTTCTTTTGCTTTGTTTTGGCTTTCTCTTATTGTAGATACTGCATGTAGATATATGTTATAAAAGTTGTTATTTTAGCAATTTTTAAATGTAGAACTTAGTGGTATTATAGTCATAATGTTTTGCAACAACACCAGTATTCCCAAAACCCTGTTAGTACCCCTCCAAAGTATACTCTTTGAGAAATACTTTCACTTTCCCTCAGCCCCTTGTACATCTAATCTATTTTCTGACTGAATTTTTCTGTTTCATGCATATTAGATAGATATATATAATACTTCCTTTTTTGATTGGTTTATTTTAAATAAATAAGAATATACAAGATTTACCTATGTCCTAGAATATTTCAGAACTTCCTTTCTTTGCACATTTTTATTAATGCATATTAATTGAACAATGTGGAGGTTTCATTGTGATATTTTCACACATGGATATGATGTTCTTTGATCATATTCAGCTCCTGTATTATTACTCTCTTTTTATAGTGATAATCTCTTACATATATAATCCACGTTTTATTGAAGTTGCTATTCGTTTATCTTTTGCTGGGTACGTGGGCAGTTTATTTCTTTTTAATTTTTTGCATCTTATTTTACTTCATTTCTCTATAGTTTTTATTCAGCTTTTGTTCTTCTCTTGGCTTATACTGATTTGAAATATATTAGCTTCTCTTGCACTTAATTTTTATTTTTGTTTTAATACAGCAATACCTACTAGACTAAATTTTGGATCTTCAGGATAGTAATTTTATTTTATTTTTTCTATTTTTTATTTTTTTTGCTAGTCCCGGGGCCTGAACTCTGGGCCTGGGTACTATTCCCATAGTCCTTTTTGCTCAAGGCTAGTGCTCTTCCACCTAAGCTGCAGTGCCACTTCTAGCTTTTTCTATGATTAATTGGAGATAAGAGTCTTATGGACTTTCCTGCCTGGGCTGGCTTCAAACCGTTACCCTCAGATCTCAGCCTCCTAAGTAATGAAGATTACAGGTTTGAGCCACTGGTGCCCAGCTTTAGTTTATATTCTTTAGGGGATATTCTATATACATAGTTTATAAATAGTAGGTGGAGATTACTGTCAGTGTAGCAGCTGTGAGGTTAGCTCACACTCTAAATGAGATTCACTGTTTTCCTTGTTTGTCCCTGAAGCAACTTTTCAGTTCTCTCTCACAGATTACCACTCCTACAGTGTATATCTTGATTCAGTGACTAACAATAGTAGCTGTTATAGTAAATTTTTTTAACTTTGTAAAGCAGTTTTGTTTTTGCACATTGTATATCATCCATCCTTTCTATGATAAATTACGTGATCAAAAAGCTGGAGCGGTTTTATAGATTTTCCTGTTATTGTGAGTATGCCCTAAACAAGAATGTAGTTCTTCCTTCAGCAGGTATCAACTGAACTGCAACTGTGTCCACTCTTAGAAGTTACAGTAAAGTGGGGGGGAGAAGGGGCAAAAAGTAAATGGATCTCTTTAAAGACCTTTATAAATTGACTAAAGAACAAGAGAAGGTAACTTGTATAATAGCAATACTATAAAGCAAAAGAAGTAGCCATGACTGGTGTGACTTGTACTCATCAAGAATATTTATTTTCTTGGCTGAAAAAATACTTATTTTCTTGGTTCAGCCTTTAGAGAACACCAAGGTTCAATTTGGTTCTCCAAGAAATAATACCTCTTTCTGAGTTATCTTAGCAATAAATTAGCACATACATGTTGACAAATGCCAACTTCTGCAGTGTAGGTATATATCAGAAATCCTGGGGAGCTTATCAGAAATGCAGATTCCTAGATCTCACCTATGTCTACTGAATGGAATCTCTATAGTTGAGCCTTAAAGTCTCTTAGTTAGCTAGTTGGTTAGTTAATTTCTTTGTTTATGAGGTAGGATCTTGCTTTGTTGCCAGGCTGCTCTCAGACTCTGGGCTCAAGCAGTCCTGCTACCTTAACCTACACAGAGTAATAGGTACCACTAACACTGGGATAAAAATTGTTTTACTCAATTTTAAAAACCTTGTTCAAGGCCAGGTGCCAGTGGTTCATGCCTGTGTATATTTTATATATTTTAATTTATATGTATTTTTTTTCTCTTTTTTTTTTGGTAGTGCCAGGGTTTGAACTCTGGGCCTGGGTACTGTCCTCTGAAGCCCTTTTTGCTCGAGGGTAGTACTCTGCCACCTAAGCCACAGTGCTACTTCCAGCTTTTTCTGTGATTAATTTTAAGTACCTCAGGTAATTCTGAAATTCTAACTTGCCACTGACAGTGCACATGTATTTAGAAACTAGACATCTTAGTGATGAATTCAATCCAGTGTGAAGTTCTTTTTGGAACTATAGCTCACTTACTGTAGCATTCTTAGCAGTATCTCATGTTATTATATACATAATCCATTTTCTTAGGACAAGCACGTAAGTTGTTTCCAACCTCCAAACTTAACACACACACACCACACACACGGGATACATTGTGCTTTGCATTTAAAAAAAAAAGTGTGTGTGTGTGTTACTCTTTTTCTTAAGTATATACATAAAGTTGGAATTCCTGATTGTGTACACATGCTAACATTATGGCCAAATTAATTTCCAAATGAGTGACACCAATATGAGCAAAGAATATATGAGAACTTTGCATCTGAATAATTTTAATATTAACAGATCTTTACCTTTTTGCCTCTGACAAGTAAATAATAGGTCAGTCTTACTCAGTTTCATTGCCCTGATTAATGATGAGAGTAAGCATTTTGCATATGCTTATTGACCTTATTGGTTTATGTTATTGAATTGTTTATTGGGCATTGTTTGCCTTTTTCTTACTGATTCATTAGAATTCTTTCCATGTCTTTTTATGTCCTTTGTCTTTTATGTGACAAATATTCATATTTGTTTCATCTTTTTTGCTTTATAATGTCTTTTTTTCCTTTTTCTTTTTTAACCAGTGTTAAGGATGAAACCCAGCATGCTAAGCAAGCGTTCTACCTCTGAGCTATATTTCCAGCCCTATAATCGTTTGTTGAATAAGGGTTCTTTTCAATTTTATATTTTGTACTATTTTATTCAACTCAGAAAATACATGTTAAATACTTACTATGCACAATTCTCTGCATTGGGCCTGTAGCAATGAATAAACAAAAATGTCTCCCTTCATACTCCTATATCCTACATGGTGGGAGCAGTATGAGGAGAAAATAAAGGTCTGAGTGAAATAAAAAATATATTACTTCTGGCCGGGCATCGGTGGCTCACACCTGTAATCAATCCTAGCTACTCAGGAGGCTAAGATCTGAGGATCAAGGTTCAAAGCCACCCAGGCAGGAATGTCCTTGAGACTTTCACGAAACCGGAAGTGGCACTGTGGCCCAAGTGGTAAGGCGCTCACCTTGAGCTGAAGAGCTGAGGGACAGTGCCCAGGCCCAGAGTTCAAGCCACACAACCGACAAAAAAAATATGTATGTGTGTTGTGTGTGTTTGTGTGTGTGTGTGTACAAACACACACACACATAAAACTTCTTAGCAATAAGCCACAGGACTCAGCAAGTTCTCAGAAACTGAGGTACACACAAACCTAATGTGTTTAAGAAACTTGTTGACCCATGTGGGGAGTAAGTGGACACAGTTGAAGTATAGTACAGGTTTTAGCATCCCTAAACTGGAAATTTGAAATACTCTAAAATAACATTTCTGGTTTTCTAGGTTGGGATACTCAACCAGTGAAGTCTGTCCCAACATTCCAAATTTCAAAACACTTCTGATCATAAGCATATTGGATAAAGGATGCTTAACCTACAGTAGATATTTACTTACATTATCCTTAATTCTTTCCATACGTTTGTGTAATTTTTACACAAATAATATTAATGGGTAATATTTTAATGGATGAGGTCAGCAGAGTAATCAAGAGGATTCACTAGGAACTTGTAAAACACTATAAGAATTCTTACTTTTCCTCTCAAGTAAGATGGAAAACCACTTCAAATAGAGACGTTATATCATCTCCCTTTAGTCTCATTCTAGGCCTTTTGTCCATAATAGCCTAGAAGGCAAGAGCAAAAGCTGAGAAAACACTTAAGGTTTTAGCAGTAATCTAAGAAGGAGATAATGGTAGGGCCACAAGAATGGTACCAAAGTCTAAGTATGAGAAGTGGCTAAATTCTAGATATAGAATTGAAAGGATGTAGCCATTTCGTGTTGGTGGCAGATGAGAGAGGAAAGGCAACCTTTTAAATCCTTTAAGGCAGCAGCTGGGAAGAGTTTGTCATTTACAGGAATAGAAAGGACTGAGTAGACATAAGGGTTGCATTTTTTGTGCTTCTGTGTTTGTTTGTTTGGGGAGTTGTGTAAAGGGAGTATATAGGGAACTAGGAGTTCTGTTCTGTGTATTTTTTTAACATATCTATTAGATATCCCAGTGAAATCTTGCGAAGAGTTTGATGCACAATTTTCAACTTGTTCTAGGGAAAGGTTCAGACTACAGTGGTGAATGTGGGAGTGTTCAGCATATAAATAGCATTTAAGGTCATGACTGGATGATATCATCAAAGGATTTAGAGCAGACTGAATAAGAGAAGTAATCCAGGAACTGAGCCCTGGGCATGCCAATGTTGAGAAGTCAGAGTTAAGTAGAGACTAGCAGGGGATTCGAGGTTGTCCAGTGAAAGGGGAGAAAAACAAGGAGAATAAGGCATTGTGGATGCTAAGGAAAAGTGTGATCAACTGTACCATGATGCTTAAGAAAGCAATTTATAATCTGTAGAGTATACTTTACTATGGTACAAATGTTATATTCTACAATATTCTTTCACATAATTGTTTTAAATACTATTGATGATTTTCGTCACTTGAGCTCTCTAAAGGATTAATTTCTAATTCTATTTTCTGCATTTATTTGCTTGTATCATATACTGAACACCATCCTTTTTGTCCTTAGTCATTTTTAATGTTTTTTTTTATGTTAAGGGTTACTTGTTTCTCATTTACTTGTAAATTTTAATTTTTTCAATGTATTATAATCAACTATAGATCTAATTTTTTTCTTTTTTTTTTTTCTTTTTTCTTCCTTTTTTGCCAGTCCTGGTACTTGAACTCTGAGTCTGGGTGCTGTCCCTGAGATTTTGTGCTCAAGGCTATCACTTGAGCCACAGCTCCACTTCTGGCTTTTTTGGTGGTTTGGTAGAGATTAGAGTCTCACAGACTTTCCTGCACAGGCCAGCTTTGAACCACAGTCCTCAGATCTTAGCCTCCTGAGTAGCTATGATTATAGGTATGAGCCACTAGCACCCCGCATCCTAATTATTTTTATGCTTAAATTAGCCCTAATGTGATTAGAAGGAACCCCTTCAAACTGCCACCTTGTATTATATTATCATGTCTTTATTAATCTTTGAGCTCTTCCCTACTTGCTGGTACAAGATTTCCCAAACCTTATCGATCTATATTTGGAATTAATGATTTATTAATGGTACCATCTTGACTAAAAGGCTATCCAGTGTCTTTCTAATTTTGTCTTTAGAGCTCAACATTTTTACCATAATAAAATTACACATTTTATTCTTGTATTTTATAACAGTTTTCATTGTTAAAGTAGTTATATGGTGAGCCACTCTGAAAGAGTACTACTTTTTGCCACTAACAGAATTATAGTCTACATGTAACCTTCTATAAATTTCATTAAGACAGTCAAAGAATACTATTGCTCTCAATTATTTTGGTTCAGATATACTTAATGTATTTGGATTTATGCCAGAAGAAAAAGTTAATTAGGAATATAAATTATGTTGCTTTTAGCCCTGTATTAGTTATGGTTTGCAGTAAGAATGGGTCTTTTAAACTGATAGAGCCTGGCTCTATGACCTATATTCAATATGCTAGAAGCTGCAGATACTGTTTATAACTATCCTGGAGGCAGGATATTAATAGGGATTACAGAATACACAAACCCATATTTAGAATTGAAGTCACTCACATTGATATGATAGAGTATTAAGATAAATTTCTAGTAATGTTCTGATGTATAATGTAATGTTTAAGGGTGTTGTTAGAGCACTATTAATACATTATATCTTACTACTTTTAAATATCCTATGTAGAAATATTTGAAAATGATTAGTGGAGTTTCCATATTTGGACTTCAAATAAGTATAACAAACTTCACAATATGATTAGAAGTAAAGGGTGAATAATTGAGATCACCATATCAATCATTATCACTAGTCAGTTTCTCTAGCTCAGTAAAGCACTCCAAAATTTATAACTTGGCACAAAAAAAAGTTTGCATTTAATCCATTACTTTTTGTTTTATTCATGTATTTAATTTTAGATTATAAATTTGCACTAGAAGCTATATTTATAACGTTCACTCTCTACAATATTGGTTAAGACTCATGAATATTCTTCTGCAATCAATTTCTAGTAGGCTTAGTGCCTCCTCTAGCACAAATCTCCGCAACAGTTCTCATCTTTGGCAGAGAGCTAAAGAGTTGAAATTGCTGACTAGAATTCTTTTGTTTAAATAAGACAAACTACTGGAGTGTTGAGTTATAAACCACCACCGTTTATATGACTTTTTAAGTTTTGTCTTACTCAAATTTTAAAGATTCATGTGATAATTATCTGCTTAGCACAGGTCAACTAAAGCTCTTACTTGGATACGCTGAGTAAAATCCAATGTTTATTAATCTTTCATCTGTGTATTTACTTGTGGTCAGTTATTTTCCAATTTTCCCTTCTCCTTCTCCTTCTCCTTCTCCTTCTCCTGTCAGTTGTGAGGCTTGAACTCTGGGCTTGGGTGCTGTCCCTGCACTCTTCAGCTCAAGGCAAGCACTCTACCGCTTGAACCACAGCGCCACTTCCCCTTTCTTCTTATTATAAAGTGAGTTGTTCCTTTAAAGTAAAAAAGAAGTTTATTTTGTAAGACATTTTTGAGGAGAGGGTTGCTTTATCTCTACTAGAAGAAAACTGAGTGATAATCAATGTGACTGTAAATAAAATAACAATATCTATTAGTAAAGATATTTTCCTCTTCAATAATTACCTCCTAGTAGAGGTATTTCAATACTTATAAACTCAACAGGCTGCATTTTTCCCACCTTTCATTCCTTACTACTAAATATGTAAAAGTACAGAGTTTCTTTTCCTCTTTAATTGTGTATGACTCTTTCTTGCAGCATATCTAGACATTCTCCAGAGTACTTCTACATTTTAAGGACTTAGCCACTTAAAATCATAACCAAGTGTCTACCTTATTTTCTTTGTGTATAGTTTTAAACTAAAAACAGATCATTTTATTGATGAGCTTAAAGAAAAACATTGAGGAGAGGGAAGCAGGCAAAGAGAGGGAAGAAGAGCAAATATGGTCATAATCTATGAACATGTGTGAATATGGAACAAAGAAACCCTGTGTGATTGGTTGGGGAAAGGGAAGAACGAGAAGAATGGAGGGGGGATGACCGATCAAGATGCATTGTATCCATCAGTAAACATGTTAAATGAAACATTCTTGTGCAATAGTTGATACTAATAAAGGCAAACAAAAATATATTTAGCATTTAATTAACCCATATAGATCTAACATTGTGATCTTTAAACAGTAAAGGTATTTTTCCTAATTCTAAATATTTTGATCATACCAACAAAACTTTTTCTAGGATCTTCTGCCTATTAAGCAAGAAAAAGGAAAATCCCTTACAGAAAACATGGATGCATTTGAAAAAGTGAGAACAAAATTAGAAACACAGCCACAAGAAGAATATGAAATAATCAATGCAGAGGTAGGATATATCGTATCTTTCTGTAAAAAGAAAAAATATTTTGCCCATTAAAATGCAATTTTAATTTCTAAACACAATTTTAATTTGTAAGCATAATCCCACATCAGTTACATGGTGTTTACCTTATGCTGGCAACTTTGAAACAGCAAAGATTAAGCAGGGTATGTCTTATAAATAAATGTCAAGGGCTGGGAAGGTTGCTCAGTGGTAGAGCACTTGCCTTGCATGCTCGAGGCCCTGGGTTCGATTCCTCAGCACCACATAAGCAAAAAGAAAAAAGCCAGAAGTGGCACTGTGGCTCAAGTGGTAGAGCACTAGCCTTGAGCTGAAGAGCTGAGGGACAGCGCCCAGACCCAGAGTTCAGGCCCCACGACCGGACCCAAAAAAAAAAATGTCAAAATCAAACCTTAGGTAAATTTCAAAGTATAATATATTCTAATTTGGAGGAACAGCCAGTTCTAATTTTTTTCAAGTTTCAAAAACTTCAAATGAAACCATTTATTTCTTTATTATTTGAAATGTATCTGCTTGCTCTGTGTGTTTTAATAAGAAAAACTAATTCAGTAAAGCCAAGTGTCTATATAACTATTTTGTAGTTACCAATCATAAATATTCAACTGATGTAGATTGAACTCTGAAAATTTGTCAATAAAACTAGAAAACAGAACCTTAGATTGTAAATAAATATTAGAAATGAAAAATCCAAAGTAAAAACCACAAGGTAAAAATTCCAGATTCAAGCTGAGTGCTGATGGCTCATGCCTGTAGTCCTAGCTACTCAAGAAGCTGAGATCTGATTACAGCTTAAAATCAGCCCAAGCAAGAAAATCTGAGATTGTTCACAGAAAATTGGAAGTGGAGCTGTGGCTCCCAGTGGTAAAGCATGAGCCTTTAACAAAAAAGTTCAGGAACAGTGCCCAGGCCCTCAGTTCAAGCCCCAGGATCTCCATGCATGCACATGCGTGCGCGTGCACACACACACACACATACACACACACAAATACAGATTCAGATAATGCATTCCTTTCTTTTTCTTTTCTTTTCTTGCCACTCCTAGGGCTTGAACTCTGGGCCTGGATGCTGTCCTGTGCTTTCTTGTTCAAGGCTAGCACTCTACCATTTGAGCCACAGCACCACTTCTGGTTTTTTCTGTGATTAATTGAGGATAAGAGTCTCATGGACTTTCCTGCCCAGGGTAGCTTGAACAGTGATCCTCAGATCTTAGCCTCCTGAGTAGCTAAGATTGCAGGCATGAACTACCCGCACCAGGCTCAGATAATGTGTTTTAAGCTATCTGAAATCACATAAATCAGTCAGTTGCAATTAAGATGTAGGTGTTAGTCAAGAATATTGCTCATATTTGATAGTATTTCATTTCCCAGAGTCAGGCTATGTTTATCTCCACACAGAGGATAATATACTTTGTATTAAATAAAGTCAAGACTATTCAGTTGATAATGACTGTGATTTTAAAGGAAAGAATAGCAGAAAGGTACTGACTTCATTTCAAGCTAGTTTGAGGAGTAGTTTTCTTCTCTGCATTATTTTGGATTATCTTAAAGATGCTACATGATTCTATTAACTGAATCTCATCTTACAGATAGCACATGTTCTCAAATTATACCTAACGTGGCTTATACATGCATAAGAATCAACATCTTTATATATCTTTAGTTTATATTATTTTGTTTGTATCTTTTGCATTGTCTCATGGATTTATGACTTTTCTATTTATGTTTCAGAAACCCCTGTAGTGATTCTGAACATAAGAAAATGATTATCTAACTATATTGTAAAAAGTGATGATTTTATATTTCATATATGTTCATTCGTATACTTAAACAGATCTTCTTATTATAAAAGATGATTTTTTTATTTGAAGCATTCAGATCATTAAACAGTTAAATTGCTATTAAGTAAATCATGTTTCTTTTCATTGTCAGATTAAGCATGGTGGTTTTGTTTATTATCAAGAAGGCTGTTGCTTGGTTCGGTCCAAAGATGAGGAAGGTATATCATGGTTTTTTTCTTCAAGATGCTCTGATTTTTGATGTTTTACAATTTTTATATGGTATTTAATGGTAATTTCTCAAAGATAAAGAAGACTTTTCTAAAGATTATTTCTGAATTTTCTTTTTTTTAAGTATCTGCGTTTGTTTAAAACATATTTAATAGCTACACTTAAAATTTGGCAGGCGTTTATCTAGGAGAGTGGAAATTGAGATGGTAGTACACCTGACACACCACATAAATTATTCAATGCTATTTGTATTCTCTTACTTTTTAAGCTCTGATAGTAGACTACACTATAATACAATCAAACAATATCTTGGTTAGTGCATAGAATAGTATCAAATGCATAGAATATTATTAAATAACTAATGCCAGTTTATGTTTGTTGTCATTGTTGAATGAAAGTAGAATATGTTCTTTGATAGAGGGGGAATTTTAATTTTAAATATTAAATAGTTTTTATATTATGTATATTTTTGTGATTTTTTTCCCACACTTTACTTATGCAGCAGACAGTGATAATTATGAAGTTTTATTCAACTTGGAAGAACTTAAATTAGACCAGCCCTTCATTGACTGTATCAGAGTTGCTCCAGATGAAAAATATGTGGCTGCCAAGATAAGAACTGAGGAATCTGAAGCATCTACCTGTGTAGTTGTAAAACTTAGTGATCAGCCTGTAATGGAAGCTTCTTTCCCAAATGTGTCTAGTTTGGGTAAGTCTCCAACCAAAATATACTTGTGTCTTTTTTTTTTTTTTAGGCATTTATTTTTAATTGTGAGGGGTTATAATTACATGGGCAAAGTAATGAGTACATTTCTTATCAAGCATTGTTGCCTCCTCCTTTGTTTCCCCTTCCCATCCATTCCGATCTCCTCCCCCCGCCCCCCCTTCCTTGTCTTAAAGGCAACATTAAGAGAAATGTTCACACTTTTGAAACTTTTTTTTGCCCATGTAAATGAAGGGGAAAGTGAATGCCTAATATATGTTCTCCCTGTGGACCACAGATCTATCTGTGTGTGTGTGTGTGTGTGTGTATGCATATATGGTTAGACTTAAGGGTTTTAGTGGCTGCACACATATCTGTGTGTGTGTGTGTGTGTGTGTGTGTGTATGGTTAGACTTAAGGGTTTTAGTGGCTGTACACATTCCTATAATACCAGCAACTTGGGAAGCAAAGATTGGAGCATTATGATTCAAGGCTAACTCAGGCAAAAATTACAGAGACTCATTTACAAAAAAAAATTATAGGTCTGGGAATGTGGCCTAGTGGTAGAGTGCTTGCCTAGCATGCATGAAGCCCTAGGTTTGATCCCTCAGTACCACATACACAGAAAAAGGCAGAAGTGGTGCTGTGGTTCAAGTGGTAGAGTACTGGCCTTAAACAAAAGAAGCTCAGAGACAGTGCCCGGGCCCTGAGTTCAAGCCCCAGGATTGGAAAAAAAGAAATCACAGAGACTCTGACTTAGAAAACAAAGCTGGAATGATTTGACACATCTGTGATCTCAGCTACCTGGGAGTCAGATTAAAAATATCAAGGTCTGAGACTAGCTGGGCAAAAGCAGGAGACCTTCTCTGAATAACAAACTAAAACAAAAGGGCTCCTGTTTGTTTGTTTTTAAGTTATAATCAGAATCCTGGTTGTATAATATATATTAATCACTTGCTTTTGCCAGTTTGTTGTGTAGAATTAAATTGTAAATAAACCTCATCTCATTCAACTTTAAACTTGGTATTTTGTTTTGTGGTTGTTGTTTAAAATGTATTATCTTACAGCTATTGTGACAGACTGCTAAAGTCACTGAAACTTTGGAGTGCATTAAGCTGACTTAGTCATCAATGGAAATTTTGACATTTTCAGTAATAGAACCAACTATAAAATATATCATTTATTACTGAGTAGCACTTTAAACTTTTTGTCCCTCTTCATTACTATACTTTTCCTCATTGTTTAGATGCTTTTGCAATTAACTGAAATTATAATTTACCTATTGGATTCTAAGAAATACATTATGTGCATTTTAACTTCTAAAATCAGTTTGCAAATTATACAATGGTGGTTTACAATCACTGTCAGCCAGGTGGCAGTCATGATGTAATTGTAAACTTCTGTTAAGAAGTTGTAGTGAATTCAAGGAACAGCATTAAAATGTACTTGATTAGCTGGGTACTGGTGGTTCACACCTGTAATCCTAGCTACTCAGGAGGCTGAGATCTGAGGATCATGTTTCACAACCAGCCCTAACAGGAAAATCCATGAGATTGTAATCTCTAATTAACCACCAGAAAACCAGAAGTAGATCTGTGGCTCAAAATGGTAGAGCACCAGCCTTGAGCAAAAGAGCTCAAGGACAGCACCCAGGCCCCACAACTGACCAAAAAAAAAAAAAAAAAAAATAGTTGGTAGTTTTGATGTATCCTATTACTTGAACGTATAGACAGAGAAGATTGACACATGAAAGTGATGCAAAAATGAGGGAGGGGGTTGACACTGTTCCAAAAGAAATGTACTCATTACCTGACTTATATAACTGTAACCCCTCTGTACATCACCTTTATAGTAACTAAAAGTGATATGTTTCTTCAGGATCATGTAGATTTAAACATAATTCATAATCTCCTAAAGCAAAAGTGACCTTTCCAATGTCTTTCCAATATACTGAAGGCTTATCTCTTACTTAGAAACTTGAATAGCTTGAGGCTAGCTGCTTGAAGACTTGGAACTAATTAAGTGATATTTTATTTTTCTGGAAAGCTCTCTGGCTTATGTATGATACAGATTAGTAATAATCAAGCCTGTGTTATATTTAGATTTCCCAGGATTAGCTTGCACATGTCTTCTCTTTGGCATTCAAAACTAGAATATGCTGTGCCTTTGAAAAGGAAAAAAAAAAAAAACTATTTACTGGCTATATCTAATTCTTCTAATTACTTTCTTTCAGAGTGGGTAAAAGATGAGGAAGATGAAGATGTTTTATTCTACACTTTCCAGAGGAACCTTCGCTGCCATGATGTGTATCGAGCCACGTTTGGTGATAACAAACGTAATGAGCGTTTTTACACAGAAAAAGATCCAAGGTACTAAAATAACACAATTAAATCATTTTCTTCAGAATATTTCTCTGATTATTTAAAGTGCTGGTCTTAATTGACTTGAAATGTTGATTTTGTATGGAACCAGGTATAATAAGGGTAGAGCAAAATTCTTTGATTAGTTGCTTATGTTCTAAATTAATCTCTTCATCTCAAACTCCAGAGTAAACACAAATATATCATTACGCTGAAAATGCTAAGTTACTAAGTAACATTCAGTCTCAACTATGACACATAAAAGGAATTGTTAATTAAACATTTAATAGGGTTGCCATATAGCAATTGTAAATCTAAGTCACAACTAAAATTATTTGCATTTTAAATTGTTTTGCTTTCAGCCATCATGCCTATTAAATTTTTCTTTGCCCAGTACTTTAGTAATTCTTTCTTAAAGCTAATTCTTTCTAATTCCTTGTAATCTCCAGGATTTATGCTTGTGTTTCCACTTCACTAGGCTTGGGAAGAAGTAGTAGTAAATTTATCTGGCAAAATCCCTTGATTTTACCCACAGATATTTTTCTAAATGGCTTGTGAAAAACAAATTTTCCCTTGCTACCAAGATCCTATCACCTCATACATCATTTAACAGTGTAGTTTACACAATGTCAATAAATATGGAATTCCATTCCAAAATTATGACTGTAAAGTTGATGCCCAGAACAAAAAAACAACCCCATCATTTCATAAAAATCTTAAAGCTGAGAAAGACCTTAAAGAAAATCTTGGACCATCCCAAGTTTATAATGAGAAATGGAGATCAGGAGATAATACATTATTGAAGCTGATAGAAATAAGGCACAGGGAAAGTTTGCCAAACTGGCTTAATAATTTGTTTATTTAGTCCTGTTAGTCTGCCTGGACTACCTGATTTTGTAAAAATTATTGTTACAGGTATGACTAGAAGGAGCCCTCACTAGCCATGTTCTCCATCATCTTTGTTTCTGGTACTTCATTAGTTTTAGTTATATAATGACTGTTATTTTTATAGTATGTCTCCAAAATTAGTCCCAGGGGAGGATGCCCACTAGCATATTTTTAATGATCAGTACATTTTCTCCCATTTTCAGATATTTAAGTTACTGATTGATCAAAACCATTCCCTCTTTCCTTAATTTTTCTTCCTGGAACAAATGCAGTTCACTATACAATTTACAGTGTGGCACTATAACCACTAGTACCAGGAACAGGACCAAATTAGGAAAGAAGAGAAGTGCCCTGGCCTCTGAAGACTAGACATACAAACTTCCTAAGATCCCAGGTTTAGAAACAGGTTTAGAATATCCTTAAATATACAAAGCTGCCTTAATCACTTGACATCTTAGAAAGTTCAAAAAGAATTTTAGAGTTACACCTGTAATACATTAGGAATAACTATGCTGAGGTCCAGATAGTTATACTTTCCAAGAACTGTAGTGCTAGTAACTAGCAATATAAGCACCTTCTAACTCTTTGTCTGCTGCTCTTCCTTTGTGCTAACTGAACCTGTCTTTAAGTAAGAGGAATCACTTGAAATGAGCCATTCTACTCTTGACAAGGGTTTTAATTTTATTTCCTCAACAGATTGTATGATTGATCTTGGATAAGCTATTTCTTGTTCAACTTCTATAAGTAATAATATTTCACATAGTTTGTTTAAAGATTAGATAATAAAGCTGGGTGCTGGAGGCTCATGCCTGTAATCCTAGCTACCTAAGAGGCTGAGATCTGAGGATCACACATTTGAAGCCAACCTAGGCAGGAAAGGCCATGAGACTCTTATCTCCAGTTAACCACCAGAAAACTAGAAGTGGCGCTGTGGCTCAAAGGAGAGGGGGGGAAGGTTGAATGTTAACCTTAAGCAGAAAAGCTCAGGGACAACAGCCAGACCCATGATAGACTTAAAAAAAAAAAATTGGATAATAAACTAATAATTCCAAATGTCTCTCATGGTTTATGTCTTAGTTCCAGGTCTCTTTCATACTGACTGAGTATACTTCTCTAAATGTATTTATGGAAACTTAAAATCCATGCAAATCATTTCAAGATAACCATTTACATATCCAGTGTAACTACAGAGTGGGAAATTGGGGTTTGTTATCCAAACAAGCATAGGTTCACAACCATGTATGTTCATATAATGAAGTCTTAAAGTATACGTTTTTGATCAGGCATGGTGGCACATGCATATAATCCTAGCTACTTGTGAAGCAGAGATGAAGACATATGACAGTTCAAGTTCATCCAAGACAAAAAATCGGGACTGGGAAGGTAGCTCAGTAGTAGAGTTCTTGCCTTGCATTTATGAGGCCCTGGATTGGATTCCTCAGCACCATATAAACAGAAAAAGCCAGAAGTGGCACTATGGCTCAAGTGGTAGAGCACTAGCCTTGAGCTGAAGAGCTAAGGGACAGCGCCCGGGCCCAGAGTTCAGGCCCCATGACGGACAAAAAAAAAAAAAAAAGTCAACCAGTAAGCTAGCAATGATGACCTAGGCCTATCATTCAGCTCTAAGAGTCGAAGGGCAAAGGCAAGAGGATTAGTCTGAAGTCAGCCTCAGACTGGATGAGGCACTTCCTGAAAAATAACTGAAGTACAAAAGGTTCAAGGGCATGGCTCAAGTTGTAGACTGTCTGCCCTAAGAAGCCCTTTTAACTGTCAAAATAATAAGTAAAAATTTAAGAGTCATACTAATTCAACCTGATAGGATATTAGATAAAAGCCAGCATGTTTTAAAAGGATTTCATAGAATCCCCAAGTATAATGAGCTTAGACTAGAAAGCTGAAATAAAAAGCATTAATAAAATATTACAATCTTACATTATATTATATATTAATATGTGAAATAAGTACAGAACCAAAATTACATCTATATTTACTTAAAGATATACATGAAATATAAAGAAACCTTAGAAGGAAAAAGAGAAAAAGATCATGTTATTAAACTAGATTACTGAGATTGTGGATAGTTTTCTACCTCATGTCCTAGTTTCTTATAAAAAATCATGAGAAAAGTATAAAAAAGTAATTCAGCATGTATACAGAGAAAAAAACAAAGTAAGAATAGTCTTTTTTTCTTTTCTATTATTGTTCATCTCCTCTGGAGACTTTATTTCCCCTTAGCAGAAAGCTCATAATCTAGTAATTAAGTGATATATGTCTTTAGTGTTTACCTTGCCATACATACAAATAAAGATGGATACACAGACAGGTGATAAAGAGCATATGTCAAACTATTAGCAGTAATGGAATCTCTGTGGTAGCAGTTGGGGTTCACTTTACAGTTATTTTCACTTCTGTGTACATTTGAAAAACATTTATGATAAAAATGGTAGGGAAAATAATTTCTAGTATCTGGAAGGAGAATGAGAAAAATAATACTCATTTAAAAATTTTTTAATATTCACTAAGGAAATTTTTAATTTTCTCTCCATGTTATAAGCTAACATGCATAGAAACCACCTCTGAGGTACTGTAATTAACAAGGTAAAACCACCTCTGAGGTACTAACAAGGTAGAACACATTTGAAATTTACTGAGATCTCATGGCTCTGATGTCTGCCTTTCTTTCTTTCTCTCTGTGTAGCTATTTTGTTTTCCTTTATCTAACAAAGGATAGTCGTTTCCTCACCATTAACATTATGAACAAGACCACTTCTGAAGTGTGGTTGATAGATGGCCTGAGCCCTTGGGACCCACCAGTACTTCTCCAGAAGCGAATACCCGGGGTCCTCTACTATGTTGAACACAGAGATGATGAATTGTACATTCTCACTAATGTTGGAGAGCCTACAGAATTCAAGGTAATTCTAGGTTCTCATCCCTTTTATACTGTTTGGAAATGTCATACTTCCCTTACTACCATTAGTGCTACCTTCCTGTACATCATCAATTCCATTTTTCCTCCCTTAGAGCTAATGCTCTTCCTCTTCTAACTATGCCTAAATGATTGGGAAATGAAACATACTCTATTCCAATTATATATTTTAAAGGCAAACTGTTAATTTAAAAGAAAGAACCTATAAACCAATTCTTTTTGGAGTTGGCAGTTTGGATTGACTTCAGGCAGGCACAGCGATGTATCCATTGTTTCCTGGAGTTAGTTGTTTCATTCAGAAGTTCACCAGTTGGGTGTCAGCTAAGAACTACACTGATTCACCTTGCAGCAGGCTAGCCTGGGCTTTGTTCACACCTTACCCTTGGTACAGATGTAATCTTTTCAGCTAGGTCTTCATATAGTAACACCTAGCCACTAATAATGAACATTGAACACTATAGTACAGTTTTATTTCTGTGTTTACCTACATGTCTTCTTGTTTTGTTCCCACACAGCTGATGAGAACAGCAGCAGATACCCCTGCTATTATGAACTGGGATTTGTTTTTCACAATGAAGAAAAATACCAAAGTTATTGACTTGGACATGTTTAAGGATCACTGTGTTCTCTTCCTGAAGCACAGCAATCTCCTTTATGTTAATGTAATTGGTCTGGCTGATGATTCAGTTCGGTCTCTAAAGGTATGTCTAATTTTCTTTTTTTTTTTTTTTTTTTTTTTTTGAGGGAGGGAGGTAAAAGGTTTATTCCACAGTGTAATGGATACAGTCTGGGAAGACAAGTCTGAAGACCCCTAGATATGTAGCCTAGAGTTGCTGCAAGAAACTTTTGGATAAGAGAAGAGGTAGAAAATCAAAACAAAACAGGATATGCAAAACAGAAAAGTAAAAACAGACTGGTTTGGAGCAAGTGAGCAAGCTTCACATGAACATAGACCTGCCCTAAACTCTACCTCCACCCACATTCAACCTAATCTCCCTAAACAACCAGTTTTTGAAGTCTTGGGAAGGAGTACTATTTTGTAAGAAACCCTGGGAGGAAACTTTACCGAAAGTTTTCTGAAGCAATTAATAAAAGAAAAGACAGTAATATGAATCTAAACACATACACAGTTTAGCTAACAGAACATCAAATTTAGAATAGTATTGTACATTTTTCTTAAGAATTCAATTTAAATGTCATGTGGCTTACTGGCTCTTCATCAGTTTTAGTTTTACGTTCCTTTGGTGACCATGAGTTTAATGCTGTTTTACTTAAACTACTGTCTGATAGTGTGGACTTCATAAGTAGAGTTAAAGACTATTGTATTGTGCTTTCTACTTCACAATATTAAGTATGGCCATAACTCAGGCCTCTTTGGCAGCTAGTGCCCAACCACTGGCTGCCCTCTCCCAACTCACATCCTCAGTAAAACAGTAGTCATATACACTGGCTTCTGTCACATGCTTGTATCTGTATCCATAGCACATAAAGATTGGTCTCTTTCAGAGGTCTCCACTGTCTGCTTACAGGCTGACTGGTTGGTGCTATCAATGGCTGAACATAGTGGCATGTGTAGGTCATCTAAGCTACATGGGAATCCATGATGGGGATGATTATAGTTCTAGACCAGCCCAGGAAAAAAAGTCCATGAGACTCCATTTCAAAAGCAAGATGTGAGATTTGTTGGCACATGCCTAGTATCCAACATGTAGACTAAAATAGTCAGATCACAGTCATGGCCCACTCATAGGCACGAATGCTTAGTTCTTTAAAATAATCCTCAACCTGAGGAGAACACTTGAGGAACTCTTACAGGAACATTGGAAATGTGTGTAACTGGTGTTTCCTATATGTAGACTCTTGGAATAATTAGAAGAAATTTGCTTGGAGAGCAAACTCCAGTCTTGGCTGTAGTCTCTGGAGGAGAAATGGTGTACTCTTGATGCACACACCTCTCTCTACCCTTTTCAGTAGTGCCCAAGAGCTGTGCCAAGACCTCTGATTTTCTAAGGAATTTGCTCTTTCCACAACTATTCAGAAAGGCAATTTTATTTCGATGTTGTGACCCTCTGTACCCGCTTACCAGAGTTTTTAAAAAGGTGTAAGTGGGATATTAGTGGGAAACTTGAAGTTGGACCCTGCTGCTCTGAGAGAATAAATTTTGATTCCTTTCTTTTTTCTTAAAGTTAAGAATCTTAAGCATAATAGCCGTGAGTCTCTCAGAGTAGATATGCCTGGAAAGGTTTTGTTCTGCACAATGGTTAGCCTGGAAGCTAAAGTTAGAAACAAATTGTAAATGCTTTGGTGCTGCTGAGCCATTTGTAGCCCAGACTACCAGCACTCATCACTAGGCTGTCCAGGCAGTAGACTAAGGACTGGGGAGGAAATGATTCAAAACACACCTGAGGATTTCATGTTCTTTGAGATCAGAGATCTTAGAACTATTTACAACTGGGAATGGGAATTTCTGTTCATTTGTTCTTAACCATTTGGTTATTTCATCGCCCAAGTTTATACCCCAAAATAAACTATTGTGTTAAAAAAAATTTCACAACCGGGCGCTGGTGGCTCACGGCTGTAATCCTAGCTACTCAGGAGGCTGAGATCTGAGGATCGCGGTTCAAAGCCAGCCCGGGCAGGAGAGACTGTGAGACTCTTATCTCCAATAAACCACCAGAAAACCGGAAGTGGCGCTGTAGCTCAAGTGGTAGAGTGCTCGCCTTGAGCTGAAGAGCTGAGGGACAGCGCCCAGGCCCAGAGTTCAAGCCCCACAAATGACAAAAAAAAAAAAAAAATTCACGTACATCTAGAGTCCTGATAAATGTGTTTCACATATACTTCTCTTGCTTAATCGTCATTAATGTAGAATTGTATTTGCTTGCTTAAAATATATTTTATTGTGATGAAATAAGTAATCTTTAAATATGTCACCATATGGAAAGAGAAAGTAAATTAGATATCCACATCATCTTGTTTGTAGCAATTTCAGAAATTTAATCGCTGATACTTAGCATCTAGAAGAAGAGTGGAAATAATTGTTTCATTTCTTCAGCTCCCTCCTTGGGCCTGTGGATTCATAATGGATACAAATTCTGACCCGAAGAACTGCCCCTTTCAGCTTTGCTCTCCAATACGACCTCCCAAATATTACACCTACAAGTTTGCAGAAGGCAAATTGTTTGAAGAAACTGGACATGAAGACCCAATCACAAAGACTAGTCGTGTTCTACGTCTAGAAGCCAAAAGTAAGGTAGGTCTTTTGTAATCTCTACTTCTAACTCCCAGCCATTGAAAGCAAACTATGCAGTTGTTGAGATTATATTAGCACCATTTTCTGAAATGGATCCCTTGTACTACAGTAAGGCCCAAATAATTATAGGGAATATATGGATTTTTTTTTGGTACTAAGTACAAAGGCTTTGCACTTGCTAAACTAGTGTCCTGCCATTGAGCCATACCTCCAGCCTTTTTAACTTTAAAATCCATATATTACACATGGATTCAAAAACACATATTATTACATATATATAATATATATTATTAATAATATATTATTACCTCAAGCCCTTTATTTCCCATGTTTATGTTTGGTTGTTTTTTGTTTTATTTTGTTTTTTGCCAGTCCCAGGGCTTGAACTCAGTGCATGGGCAGTGTCCCTGAGCTTCTTTTGTTCAAGGCTAGCACTCTACCACTTGAACCACAAGGCCACTTCTAGCTTTTTCTGTTTATGTGGTATTGAGGAATAAAACCCAGGGCTTCATACATGCTGGGCAAGCACTCTACCACTAAGCCACATTTCAAGCCCTAAACTTTTTTAATTGAGCTAAATAACAAAGGTGAAAATGATAAATATTGTCAAAATAGATTGCTGGCAAATATGAAAATGTATTAAAGAAATTTTTGTTGTTGGTAGTCATGGGGCTTGAACTTGGCCCGGGCACCATCCCTGAGCTCTTCAGCTCAAAGCAAGCATATTATCACTTGAGCCACAGTACCACTTTTGGTTTTCTGGTAGTTAATTGGAGATAAGAGTCTCACAGCCTTTCCTGCCTGGGCTGGTTTTGAACTTCAATCCTCTGATCTCAGCCTCCTGAGTAGCTAGGTGTACAGGCATGTGCCACTGGCGCCCAGCTACAGAAATTTTTTGCAATTACATGAGGAAGGGGAATGAGAGAAAGGGAGAATCATGGGTGGGAGTTCATTGGAATACATTGTACACATGTGTGGAAATGTCACCATGAAATCCCTTGTACAGCTAATATATGCTATTTTTTAAGAGTCTCAAAGGTTTTTAAGATGGTTGAGAATAAGCTAGAAAGGAGACAGGGAATCTCATGTAGAGACCCTAAATTTGGGCCAAGTTGTAGATTGCCAGGGAGATGAGGAAATAACTGATATCCCATACTGTAAGTCTACTCAGTATACAGAATCTAAAATTTAACAAAGGGTGAGCAAATGCAGTGGTGGTACTCACTAGTCACTTTTTTCAAAATGAACCATAGTACCACTTGTGAGTGGGAACAAGAGGGAAAAACTGGGGAGAGTGAAGGAAAGGGTGACATTGTCCAAAAGAAATGTACTCATTACCTGGACTTATGTAATTGTAACCCCTCTGTACATCACCATTACAATAGCAATTAAAAGACAAAAATTAAAAAAGGAATCTTCAGCTGGGCGGCAGTGGCTCATGACTGTAATCCTAGCTACTCAGGAGACTGATATCTGAGGATGTTGGTTCAAGCCAGCCAGGGCAGGAAAGTCTTTAAGATTCTTATCCCCAGTTAACCACCAGAAAACCCAAAGTGGCGCTGTGGCTCAGGTGGTAGAGTACTTGACTTGAGCTGAAGAGCTGAGGGACAGGACCCAGGCCACCCAGAGTTTTCAAGTCCCACGACTGACCAAAAAAAAAAAAAAGGAATCTTCAAACTTGTTCAGAGAATCTAATATATATTAACTGTAGAATTTTTAGATTTTTAGCATATGTTAGTAATTTCACATGTTACTATCTTTAAGCAAATACTGATTTTTGTAATTGAAAAGCAATACATATATCTTAGGACAAATGCAAAATAAAGTTTAAAATATTATGTTTCAGTCCCATTTATTCCACCTCTTAGGGAAAAAAAAAACATGGACATGAAGCTATAGTTCAAATGCTAGAATGTTAGTCTTGTGTGAAAACCTAAGCAGTGGCTGGGAATGTGGCTTAGTGGTAGAATGCTTCCTAGCATGCATGAAGCTCTGGGTTCAATTCCTGTATACCACATAAACAGAAAAATCCAGAAGTGGTGTAGTAGCTAAAGTGGTTTGAGCAAAAGAAGCTCAGGGACAATGGCCTGAGTTCAAGCCCCAGGACTGACCAAAAAAAAGAAGGCTGAACCTGAGTTCTGGTACCAGCAGAAAAAATGAAAAAGGGAGGAAGGAAGGAAGGAAATAATTGTTTATCGAGTCATGAAATCACATATTTTATATTTTGTTGACTTTTGCAAAAAAAAAAAAATGTGATTATAGTGACCTATCAAGTTTTGTTCCCCAAATTGAAAGAAGAGTTGACTTCTGTACTTGGAGAGCAATGGATCCTCAAGCATCAGGAGAGGAACCTGCTGTCCAATGCCACAGGCAGATTACCAACTTCTGACCTTGACCACCACAGGACTAGCTACTTTTTGCACAAGGTTGCAACCAGCACGTTTTTCCTAATCCTGTAATTGAAATCAGGCTAGAGTCGGGGATGAAAAGACCAAGCTTATTTTATAGATATCAACTTTTATAAGAATGCATCTTACTGAGAACTGAAAATTTACTTTTTCTGTCATAGTTAGTTGGGTACATTAAGAATAAGCAGGAGATACACTCCCAACCTTTTTTGTCTCCATTTATTTTCCCAAATGAAATTATCAAAATATAAATGGAAAAAATGAGGAAGAGTGACTTTATTCTACTAAATTAGTACCATTTTATTGTGTTTTGTTTTAAAACACAGTGAAAGGCAACTTCTTCACCCTTTGTCTATGAAAGGAAGAACAAAATGTGGTTTGCTTATCTGTATTTTATCTGTCCAGAAAGTATCTAGTTTCATTAACCTGGACAGATGAATTTAAGCTACATTAGGAAATAACTAAGAGGCGTAAAAACAATTTAACTGTAGAACTTTATGAAATTTACTTAAGCTATTTTTTAAAAAATTAGTAAAGTTAAATAAGCCTTTCACAAGATTGTGAGTATATTAATAAGTCAGTGAGAGATTTCAGGTCCTGGTGGTTGTGAATTCTGGGACTAAAGGATAGATATACAAGAAGGGAACTCTTTCCTCAGCATATTTTTAAATATTCACAGTTGAAAAGTTTAAATAGGCACTAAGATAATTCTGTAGTAGAATTTCTGATCTTAATAAGCATTTTGGCTTGACCTGAAAGAGAAAATTTAAAGTAATGCTGAGTAATGAATGCTTTTTAAAAGTCACTTTGCAGGGCGCCAGTGGTATAATCCTAGGTACTCAGGAGGCTGAGATCTGAGGACTGGGTTCAAGCTAACCTGGGCAGAAAAGCTCATGAGACTCTTATCTCAATAAACCACTCAGGAAAAGCGGAGAGTGACGCTGTGGCTCAAGTGGTAGAGCACTAGCCTTAAGTACAAAGAGCTTGGGGACAGAACCCAGGCCCTGAGTTCAAGTCCCAGGACTGGCAAAAAAAAAAAAAAATCACTTTAAGCTGGGTACCAGTGGCTTATGCCTGTCATCCTAGCTACTCAGGAGGTTGAGATCTGAGGAGACCAGGCAGAAAGGTCTCCAATAAACTACTCTGAAAAAAACAGAAGTGGCACTGTGGCTCAAGTGGTAGAATATTAGCCTTGAGCAAAAAGAGCTCAGAAGTAGCGCTGAGGCCCAGAGTTCAAGCAGCAGGACTTGCCAAAAAAATTTTCAAAAAGTCACTTTACTCTTATCAAAAGCTGTATTTAATAAAATGGATGTTTTTAAGCTAGTCATGCTTCTCTTTTCCAGCTAGTATTATAGGTTGGCAAGGCAGTCAGAAACAAGAATTCTGATGTATTTTTACAGACTATAACTCTTTCAAGTTTATGTTCACTAACAGTAATTTCATAACAGGGGAAGTGTACTTCAGTGCATTTTAATTTAGAAGTAAACTGTCTAGGAAGGTATTTCTTAGCCTGGAATGTAGCTCAGTGGTAGAGTATTTGCCTAATGTGCAAGATCCTGGGTTCAATCCCTAGTACTACAGGAAAACAGAAGGAAAAAAAAACATGCATAATAATTCCTTGTTTCCAGGATGGAAAATTAGTGCCAATGACTATTTTCCACAAAACGGACTCTGAGGATTTACAGAAGAAGCCTCTCTTGGTACATGTATATGGAGCTTATGGAATGGATCTGAAAATGAACTTCAGACCTGAGAGGCGGGTCTTGGTGGATGATGGATGGATATTAGCATATTGCCATGTGAGGTGAGTCAACACAATTTTGCCTGGCATATGAGTGCTTGAACATTGTGGCAAATCAGAATAACAATGCATTGAGGCAAAAGCTTATTTCCTTACTCGTATTTATTGGCTTTCTATATTCCTAATCCTGTGCTGATACAACTTCATTCAGTTAACAAATGAGTCTGTCTGAAGAGCAAAAGGGTAGACTTCTAGGAATTTTGAATAAATGTTGAAGTCTTTGTACTTATTTACATTATTATTTATTGATTCTCCTAAATTTAGGTTTTTATTTTTTTTTTTGAGACAGGGTCTTCCTACATAGCCCACGCTAGCCTCAAACTCAGCCTCCAGGTGCTGGGATTGTAGGTATAGGCCACTGTGCTTGGCTAGTTTAGGGTTTTCTCTAGCTTAACTCCTGTTTAAACCATTTTCAAAACACAAATATGAATTTGTTTCTGCTTAAGGTCTTCTGTACTTCCCTATATCCAGAACAAAATTGGTAGGTAAAGTAATTTAAAGGTCTACTGATCTCTGTGGTGTCGCGCTGATCTCTGTGGTGTCGCGCTGATCTCTGTGGTGTCTCGCTGATCTCTGTGGTGCTATCTGTCATCAGTCCTCTCCTGTGTGACTTCCTCTTACCTTCTTCCTCTTGCACACACTATGCTCTCTTTTCACGCCTTTCTGGAAACTTAAATTATTCCCTTACAACTCAGCTTAGGCATCATCTCCTTACTCCAGTGTGCTCCTGACTCACACATGTATCGCCAGATTAGGGAATAGAACTGGATGTTGGTTCCTCTGCTTGTAAACTGAAACACGCCCACAGCAAGGCAGCAACCACAGTGTTACTGATTGCTTTCCTCACAAACTTAGAGGCTTATCCATAGGGAGTTTTTGCTTGTTTATATTTCTAGGGTCTATACTTAGACATTCTCTGATAAATAGAAGCCATATACTCAAAACCTAGTTATCAAATCAATTTTCCATTGTCTGAATCAAGTGTTGGCAAGTCTTTTTTCTCTGAAGAACTAGACAGTAAACATTCAGGCTGTTTAGGTCAGACAATCTCTGTGACATAGTCCTTGTTTTCCTAGCGTTTAAAAAATGTAACACTTGGGGCTGGGAAGGTGGCTCAGTGGTAGAGCGCTTGCCTTGCATGCATGAGGCCCTGGGTTCGATTCCCCAGCACCACATAAGCAAAAAGAAAAAAAAGCCGGAAGTGGCTCTGTGGCTCAAGTGGTAGAGCGCTAGCCTTGAGCTGAAGAGCTGAAGAGCTGAGGGACAGCACCCAGGCCCAGAGTTCAAGACCCACAACCGGACCCAAAAAAAAAAAATGTAACACTTCTTAGCCTGAGAGCCAAAGAAAGCCATTTCTCCAATACAAGTTGCTGAGCTCTGCCTACATCGTTATCTCTTTCTTTCACTGCAGGGGTGGTGGTGAGTTAGGTCTCCAGTGGCACGCTGATGGCCGTCTCACTAAAAAACTGAATGGCCTTGCTGACTTAGAAGCTTGCATTAAGACACTTCATAGCCAAGGCTTTTCTCAGCCAAGTCTAACGACTTTGACTGCTTTCAGTGCTGGAGGGGTACTTGCGGGCGCATTGTGTAATTCTAACCCAGAGCTCCTGAAAGCTGTGACTTTGGAGGTAAGTATACTATCTTTCCTGGGGCAAGTATAAAGCTGTTCTAAGAATAAAAAATCTGCTACAGGGGCTGGGAAGGTGGCTCAGTGGCAGAGTGCTTGCCTTGCACGCATGAGGCCCTGGGTTCAATTCCTCAGCACCACATAAGCAAAAAGAAAAAAGCCTGAAGTGGTGCTGTGGCTCAAGTGGTAGAGTGTTAGCCTTGAGCTGAAGAGTGAGGGACAGCGCCCAGGCCCCATGACCGGACCCAAAAAAAAAAAATCTGCTACAGTTTTACCATAGTATAAGGAGGGTAACAACACTTTAAACAACATAACTCTAGCTCTAGAACTTCTAACTCTATTTTTATTCCCCTACTTACTTTTTACTCCTTCTTCTCTGACTATGTCCTTTACTAATTTTAGAGGATTCTACTGAATGATAACAATTCCCAGTGATAATTTCCTCTTCACCAGAACATTAGATCCAATGGGAAAGAGATGAAGCATATACAAATGCGCATGGTTCTAGAAAGCAGGTGAATCATCATGTGACTCTGGAATGCACCTCATCCCCTGACTCCTAGGCAGTATAGCACTCTACCACCCATCAACATTTCATTCCTAGGTTTAGAGCTCTCTATTTAGATAATCAGGGGTGGATTGTTGGTTGGTTGATTAGTTGGCTGGTTGGTTAGTTTTGAGACAGGTCAGGTTTACTTTAAACTCAGTATATAGTCCTGAATGACCAAGAACTCAATCAAGTGCTGGGATTACAGATGTGCGTCACCACATTTAGCTTTAGATACTCCATTCTTATTTAGCATATTGATGATCTCTTATCCTGTCTTAGAAATGGTCCAGTATCTTTTCCTACTATCCAAAATTATGAAACTATATTTTAGCATTTGATTTTACTCCTATCATTCTCTTACATCCTAGTTAAATTCCCTAGAAAATAATGACTGGGCCAGGTGCTGGTGGTCACGCCTGTAATCCTAGCTACTCTGGAGTCTGAGATCTGAAGGTTGCGGTTCAAAGCCAGCCAGAACAGAAAAGTCCATGAAACTCTTACCTCCAATTTAACCAGCAAAAAGCTGAAAGTGGAGCTGTGGCTTGAAGTGGAAGAGCCCTATCTTTGAACAAAAAGAGCTTAGGGACAATGCCCAGGCCCTGAGTTCAAGCCCAACAACAACAACAAAAATGACTCATGGGACAGAGTAAATTATTTTCACGATTTTGGGGGATGAGGGGTAGTAAACTAATGAGTTTTAAATAGCTCAATTCTATATGTCTATTTTTAATAGAAATACTAGTATGAGAAAAATAAGCCTCTCCTTAAAGATGGTAGTAGCAGAATCATTTATAATACAAAGTTCAATTAATTTTGACTTTTAGAAGTGTAAAAGCAAATAATCAGAAATATATTTGCAAGCGCATTTATCCATTGTTGCTTATTATAGTGAAGAATCAGAGAGGACCTAAATATACAACAATAGGATATACACAACAATAGGATATTTATATGCAAGTCAAAGTTCTTAATTACGAACGTGATAAAACCCGACCAGTTGAAGAAGGAGGTGTTTTTATTTGAGTATTTGGTAAGCTGTATGTACATGCAGAGCCAGCAGTAGAAGTGGTGCAGCCAGAAGCGGATCTCGCCCAGGGAAGTTGCTACTGCTGAGCCAGATCATCTCTCAACACTAGCAGTGCTCCTTCTAGAAACTGGATGGAGTATCACTCATACCTGAATAACATTTGTATGATCATTACTTCTTTGAAACCCTATCTTCCCATCCAACATTTGGAGCATATGTATGTTTCTGAGGGACAAGAAAAACTAAGGAAGAGACCTGCTGGCATCACATTTTCTTCAGTGAGACAGGTGCTACCCAATGTCAGTGATTTCCCAAATGTATAAAAGGAATTTAGATACTAAGCAGCCAAAAAACAAGTAGAAGTATGCACTAGACATGGTTATTAGTTATATGAGAGAAAGCTGAAAAGATCGTTTTAAAAAGCACCTCTAGCCGGCGCCGGTGGCTCAGAAAACTGGAAGTGGTGCTGTGGCTCAAGTGGTAGAAGCTAGCCTTGAGCTGAAGACCTGAGGGACAGTGTTCAGGCCCAGAGTTAAAGCCCCAGGACTGACCTCCCTCCCCACCCCCCCAATAAAAGCACCTCTACTTTATTGAATGTTTTAACACTGGTTAGGAGCCAATGGGTGATTAGTTTTTGTGTCTTTCATGTTTTCCAATCGATTTTCTACCATTAACATTATTACAAACTTTCCTCTGGTGAAAAAGAATTGATATATTGTTGGGAACTTGTCAGTTTTACCAATTTTTTTACTTGTAATGAGCTTACTCTATTAACCTTTTATAAATATGCAGTTCAGTGGTAAGTACATTCACAGTTGTACAGTTAGTCTCTAAGACTCAAGTTTTCATCTTCCAAAACTGAAATACTGTGCAATTCTCCATTCCCTTCTTCCTCAGCCCTTGGAAATGACCCTTCTGTTTTCTATGTGAATTTGACTACTCTAGGTACTTATAAATGAAATCATACAGAATTTGTCTGACACTAGCTTATTTTACTTAGAGCATATTCTTTTATGTTTATCCATATAGTAACATGTCAGAATTTCATTCTTTTTTAAGGCTGAATAGTACTCCATCATATGCATATACATTTTGCTTGCTCATTTGTTTATTAATGGGCATTTGAGCTGCTTCTGCCTTTTGGCAGTTATGAACATTGCTGCTATGAACGTAGGTATATAAATACCTCTTCAAGACCTCATTTGCAGTTCTTTTGGATATATAACAGAAATAGAACTATTAGATCATATGGTTAACCAAAGCTTAATTATTTAAGAGCTACCGTGTTATTTTCCACAGTGGCTGCACCAATTTATACTCTGATGCTGTCACCACACTTGATATTTCCTGATTGTTGTTTAGGCATCCTAATGAGTGTGAAAGTAGTATTTACTACTTTTATATAAGAAAAAGTATAACTGGACGCCGATAGCTCATGTATGTAATCCTCACTACTCAGAAGGATGAGATCTGAGGCTCACAGTTCAAAGCCAGCCCAGACAAGAAAGTCCATGAGACTCTTATCTTGAATTAACCACCACAAAAGTGGAAGTGGCACTGTGGCTCAAGTGGTAGAGCACTCACCTTCAGCTGAAGAGCTCAGGGACAGTGCCCAGTCCCAGAGTTCAAGCCCTAAGACTGACAAAAAAAAGAAAAGATATAATTATGTCACCAAATTAGAAATAGAAGTTGTGAAATTAGAAGATAAATTCTTGTTCTGTAAGTGTCATTTAAAAAGTCTGAACATGTAGATCAGGTACCAGTGGCTCATACCTGTAATCCGATCTGAGGATCGTGGTTCAAAGGCCAGCCCAGGCAGGAAAGACCATGAGACTCTGATCTCCAATAAAGCACTATAAAACTGGAACTGGCATTATGGCTCAAGTGGTAGAGCTCTAGCCTTGAGCTGAAGACCTGAGGGACAGCGCCCAAGCCCAGTACTCAAGCCCCATGACTGACAAAAAAAAAAGTTGGAACATGTAAAAGTCAGTTTTAAGTCATCTGCTCTTTAAAGACTTGAAGTTGATACATTTTCTGAGGATTTACATGTCTTGAGCTATGTTTTTGCACATTGGTATTGATAAATAACATAATTATCTAAAACTAGTTTGACCAATCACTTAGATGAAATAAATGTAAGTTTCTTTGGCTTTTTTTTCCTTTTTTAGGCACCTTTCCTGGATGTTCTCAACACTATGATGGATACTACACTTCCTCTGACATTAGAAGAAATAGAAGAATGGGGGAATCCTTCATCTGATGAGAAACATAGGAATTACATAAAACGCTATTGTCCCTATCAAAATATTAAAGCTCAGGTAGTAAAAACGATTATGTTGCGTCATCCTGAGCTGAGCCAGGAGATGTTGGGGGCTTCGGGGTAACCAAGTATCTTCAGAACCACACAGCTGCTTCCACCTCAGAATAGAGTGCTTTTGCCTTGGTTACTAGATTATATGAAGGCATGGTCCCCTTAGACGTGAAAAGCCTATGATAGGTAATAATAGCCTGGTACTCTAATGCTGAGACCTGTTCTTAGAGGAAAAAACTGGAGGTAATTATTTTTCATGGTTTGAAAATACAATTCAAGTAATACAAACTCTGAGTACATCTGTTTTCTTTTTAGCATTATCCTTCAATTCATATCACAGCTTATGAAAATGACGAACGTGTACCTTTGAAAGGAATTGTAAACTATACTGAGAAACTGAAGGAAGCTATCATGGAGCATGCTAAGGAAGCTGGTGAAGGTAAGAGACTGCCTGGAAACAGGAAGATGGCTAATTGGACTGACCCTCAGCATACTGCCCTAAGTACTGCAGCTCATGCTACAGACCAGATCATCTGCCCGTGCTTTAAAACAAGTCATTGTCTTCACTGCCTAGCCCCTTCTGCAGAGGACAGTGTTAAAGTAGGCAGGACACAAAGAACAAAGTAAATCCAAGTATCGCCTAACTTGAAGATGTACTACTGTAACAAGAGTTTAACAATATTTATTGAGATACTATTCTTAGACTTCTTCGACTTTAAAAGATACATTCTAGGGGTTTGGCTTTGATGCTTCAGCGCCAAACTAGATGTTTTAAGACAATTGTTTCATTTTCATTAGATAAGGATGTTTCCATTTTGCTTTGAAATTATAGAAGCAAGACTGATCTGCAAGTCAGAGCCACCGGTACCCTCTGTAGTTCTCCCTCCCACCCCTTGCCGTGTATTTGGCATTTCCAGGGTACAGAACGCTCAGATTTCACAGGGCCATTGACTCCCTTCCTCAGTCATTGCTCTTAACCAGCTTCCACAAGCGACTGGATCCCCTGATTCTCCTTTAGAACCTTCTGCTGCTTTTGCCCCTCCCCTCTTACTGGTGGTGATGGAGGTTTTGCTACTATTTGAACTGGAGTACCACAGAGAAGGGAGAACTGTCTGTCTTTTGAAGACTAATTGTTTTGCATGTTACCTCTTTCAGGCTCTCAGACACCCAATATTATTTTAGATATTCAGCCTGGAGGGAATCATGTGATTGAGGATTCTCACAAAAAGGTATGTTATCAAGCCTCTCTCAGTTGACAGGGACAAGTGTATGCAAGTTTTTCAGTGGTGGTTGCAAGATTTAAGTCTGACCTACTTCACAATTGTCAGACCTATGCCACAGACCCAGGAAAGGGGGTGGGGGAGAGGGGGAAGGTTACAGATCAAGAGAATGTGCTTGTTCTTGTACTTGATAAGGGAGTTCTGTTAAAGTAATTGAATCTTAATTGTTGAAAGCCTTCTACTCTTGTCCTGAATTTTTTAAAAAGACTCCTGTTATAACTTACTGACTTTGAGGTTAGATGGAGATAGGAAAACAAAGATAGACTTAAAATGCTGGTTTGAGGTTAGATGGAGATAGGAAAACAAAGATAGACTTAAAACGCTGGGATTTCACCACAAAGTCCTTCTATCTAATTTTTAATTGTATTTCTTTTAGATTACAGCCCAAATTAAATTCTTGTATGAGGAACTTGGACTTGACAACACCAGTGTTTTCGAGAATCTTAAGAAATACCTAAAATTCTGAAATGCTGCGTTCTACTGAGAATTGGAAATAGTATATAACTTGTTTTATACTCTTATTTCCAAGTGGATTTAGAAAAGTGAGCTTTTAAGTTATTAGATAATCTTTTGAAAGTTGTTTCTCCATCCAGGTTTTGCATAGTCTACATCTTGCTTGTACTGTTCCCTCTGATATCCCTTAACCTGAGAGAGAAGTTTTTAAATCATGCTCCTTAGAAGGACATGGGGAAGGGAGAGGAGTGAAGGTCTAGGGGCCACAGAATGCAGGCCTCCCTTCCAAGCAGAACACTTTGTGTCTTTTACTAGAATTTTCTTTAAGCAGTTTACAATCAGTGTCCTTCCTCTTTGCTAATGGATATTTTTAGACATTGTGAGTAAGTCATCTTCCAATTTCTATGGCTGCATTTTAAGGGAAAAAAATGTAACAACTATACACAATATTTTCTTTTAAACATTTTATTCTTTCAAACATTTGAGAAAGCAGTTACATTCAAGTGACAGAAATACCTATATCTAAGAATTAATGACTATTCATATAGCAGTATGCTGTACAGGAAATAAAAATATAAACCATGGCCAATATTACCCTCGCATAGAGGTCCTAACATAGCTTGTACAGTATGTTTAAGGTACTGGAATAGCATGCATGGTTGGAAACAAAGCACTTGTCCCTGAAAGCTGTTTGATAGTGAAAGAGATTGTTTGTCTTGTATTCCAAGATGATGCCATCTCCCTTCTCCAGAAGAATACTCCTCGTATCAATTTCACTGCCTTTGGAGGCAGAATTGGTACTTAATTTTATTCTCAGTTTTGTAGGAAGACCTGAAATCATCTCCTGTAGATTTAGTTGTGTTGATGATTCTCCAAAATTCAGAAGCACGATAAAGATTCTGTCTATGCCATCCAGTTCTCTTGTGTAAATGACAGAGTGGCTGTCATTGCTCAAAAGACAAAACCAGCCCCTGCTGAGAAGCAGCTCATTGACATGAAGGAAACTTAAATCTTGATATAATTTTAAAGCTGAACTGGGCTGCATTTTCTGGACCTATTTTTTAAAAAAGAGTTTTTACATAAATATTTGATTCTAAGATTTTTGTTAAATAGTTTAATATCTAATAATTATTTCCCCCCAAAAAAGAAATCTTGTTTCTATTTGCCCTGTCAAATAACTGCCAAATTGTAAACATTAATATATAGATAAAAACAGTTTACATAAAACTGGTAGAGCCGGGCGCTGGTGGCTCATGCCTGTAATCCTAGCTACTCAGGAAGGCTGAGATCTGAGGATCACGGTTCAAAGCCAACCCAGGCAGGAACATCGTGAGACTTTTATCTCCAATTAACCACCAGAAAACTGTGCCTCAAGTGGTAGAGCACCAGGGACAGGGACTAGGCCCAAAGTTCAAGCCCAACAACTGACCAAAAATAAATAAATAAATAACTATTAAGAAAACCTGGTGGAAATTACCACTTCAGAGTTCAGCTCTTCTGGGAGTCCTTGCAGTGCACTGTGCTCTACTACACTTTAACTTGCTGTGAAACCAGACTCAGCCACACTTCAGGAATCCTAAAAGAACTGTGTTTGGATTTAACTTGCCTAAATAAAGCCCCTGTGGTCTAATGAATTTGACAGAGGATTGGAAGAAAAAAAGCCACATAGCAAGGGGCAAGGAGGACTTCAGATGAATTTGGATTTATTTGTTCTCTTTGGTTAGATATTATAGGTTGCAACTATGCAAAGATCGTGTAACTTCAAACATGGTATTGATCACACACACACACACACACACATAGAGCTACAGAATAAAAAACTGCCTAAAGTAAAAATTTGAAGTTGTAGATTTACCACAAAAAGTAGTATATGTCAAAGACTTGGAGGGGGGGGGGGGTTAACAGCTCTATAAAATATACATAATATGATGGACTTGCTTTTTCTCTTTAATATTTCAACATTTTTCTATTTAGATGGCTTCCATACATACAACATACTTGGCCATCTTTTTCATTCTAACATTTGCATTTGTAATATACTCTTACACTTTCATCCCCTTACATTTTCACCCCCTCTCCATATTTTATATTATTCATTTAGGATAGTCATCAGAAAGCTAATTACTGTGTCTGAGTGTGGAGATTCAATACATAATGCCAAATTATTCTTCTAAAGAGCTGTTGCCAAATCAACAATAGTTTTCATTTCATTACACTCTTGCCAGCCATGTTTCGTGGAGGTAGTGATTTTTCTTGTTCTTCTTTAAGAATGGATGCTTAATATATGTCTTTAAAGGATATCTTATAAGTACATGTTTATTGTGTTTATCAGGAGCAAAGGATTTATGGTATGAGTATGTGGCCTGTCCAAGTTATTACTAACATTTCCTGAAGCTTTAGATAATGCATGAAAAGCAGACAGTACAGAGCTGCTCACATATGAAGTGTTAGCTGTTATTTTTGTCTAATTTGAAATTTCTGCCTGCAGTTGTCTGTATCTCCTTGCATTTCTCTAAGTACTTGTTTCATGTATTTTGAAAGATTCATGATTTTTAGTGGACTGTTCAATTTAAGAAAATTGCCTTTCTCATAAAATGCTTTTCATATTGAATTCTATTTTGTCTGCTATTAAATATTTCCAAGCCTGCTTTTTTTGTAACTTCATTTTTGTCTAGGAAATGCTTGCACATAGTTTAAAATTCATTTACAAAAAGAATATATGCAATGATAGAGTTTCATTCAGTCATTCCCTAGCAACTCAGTTTCCCTTGCAGAGACACAGATGACTGTTTTATGTTCTTTCCTTTTTATGTTTCCAATGAAATAATCTGTCCCTATGCAAAGATTGTGTATTTCTTTACACAGTGATGGCATATTGCTTTTCTGTACTTTGTATGTTTTTTTAATGTGTGTGTACTAGAGCTTGAACTCAGGGCCTAAGTACTGTCCTTTTTGCTCAAGGCTGGTGCCTCTACCTCTTGAGACAGCTCTACTACAGCTTTTTGGTGGTTAATTGGAGTCTCACAGATTTTTCTGCCCAGGCTGACATCAACTTCAAACTGTGATCCTTAGATCTCAGCCTCCTGAGTAACTAGGACTACAGACATTCCTTTTTTTTTTTTTTTTTTCATGGGACTTGACCTCGAGGGGCCTAGTAGGCACTGTCCCTGAGCTCTTTTGCTCAAGGCTAGTGCTCTATCACTTTGAGCCACAGGGCCACTTCCAGTTTTCTGGTAGTTAGAGATAAGAGTCTCACAGATTTTCCTGACCAGGCTGGCTTTGAACTGTAGTCCTTAGATCTCAGCTTCTTGAGTAGCTAGGATTACAGGCATGAGCCACCAGCGCCCAACTATAGTTACATGATTGCATATATGGTTTTCTACTGATAAAATGTTTAAATAATTTTTAAAGTCTGTGTAATAGAACACTGCTATGGCCAAGATCCTTTCATATTTATCATTTTATACATTGTAATTTTTAAAAGGTAAATGCCTTTCTGTTGTTTTGATAGCTAAATTGTATAGTTTTGAAACAAAAGCTTATCTTTAACTTTTTTTTTTTTTTTTGTTAGTTGTGGGGCCTGGACTCTGGGCCTGGGTGCTGTTCCTCAGCTCTTCAGCTCAAGGCTAGCGCCCTACCATTTGAGCCACAGCACCACTTCCAGCTTTTTCTGCTTATATGGTGCTGAGGAATCTAACCCAGGGCCTCATGCATGCAAGGCAAGCACTCTACCACTGAACCACCTTACAAGCCCATCTTTATTCCTGCCTACTTTTGTTTTAGTTATATTTTGTTTCTGAATTTTGTTTATTATCTAATCTGGATGTTTTTATCTTTATTTGTGGATTTAATCCATTCATTTTTGTGGTTATTGTATGTTTTGACATAGTCCTGAAGTTTTACTTCCATCTTCAGTTTATAATTGTTCTATTATTTTGGTGTTTAGGTGTTTATTTCCTTTTTAAAAGCCCTTTGTTAAATCACAGACATAAAGGGAAAATTACCTGAAGTGATTTATATCTGTCCTGATGCTTATGCTTATAATTGTAATGACCTTTTTGTTTGTTGATTTGTTTATTTGGAAGTACTGGGGTTTAAAACTCAAGGCCAATGCTCTACTGCTTGAGCATCTTTTTCCTGGTTATTTTGGAAATTAGACTCTTGACAGGCTCACTCCCCTGCCCCCATTGGCTTCAAATCACAATCATCTAGATCTCAGCCTCCTGAATTGCTAAGATTATAGGCATGAGTCACCAAGCTCCTAGTTGTATTGTCATGGGTTTCTACGCACACAATGCTGTCCAACAGAATTTTCTGCAATGCTAAAAATATTCCTGTGCTATCTAACATGGCAGTCACTAGCTGCTAATGCCCAAAATGTTAGTGAGGCCCAGGAACTGAATTTTTAATTGTTTACCAGTCATCCTGGGTAAAGACTACTGGACAGCTCAAACCTCCAAGACCCTCTTTTTTCCATCCCTTGTACAAAATAAGAATATTAGCCTGCTTGTGCCATGTGTTCTTTTTCACCACCTCCCATATGGAAATTAATCACTAAGATTTCTCTTCTAGATACATTGTTTTATATTATGCATCACAAATTATCCTTAAGTTTCGTCAGATGCTTTTTTTTTACTATGTTTTATACATTAGATCTCCCTTTTATATTAGGAATCCTCTAATTCTTTCAGGGAGTAACTAAATGGTAAAATTTGGACTTTTGGGGCTGGGAAGGTGGCTCAGTGGTAGAATGCTTGCCTTGCATGCATGAGGCCCTGGGTTTGATTCCTCAGTACCACATAAGCAGAAAAAGCCAGAAGTGGCTCTATGGCTCAAGTGGTAGAGCTCTAGCTTTGAGCTAAAAAGAGCTGAAAAACAGCACCTAGGCCCAGAGTTCAGCCCCACATCCGACAAAAAAAAAAGTTTGGACTCTTTCCTATTTCTGTTCTAATTTACTATGAAGTATTAGTTTGAATAGTTGTAGGGTTCTAGGCTCAGAATTAATTTTCCATTGCAACTATGAA